GGGGGCTGGGAGCGGAGGGCAGCACCCTCCCCAGCAGCGAGCTTCGGAAGAGCGGCCGCACCGAAATTCCTCTTTCCTGGACGAGGGTGGTCCCTCCCCTCCTCCCCATCCGAGGAAAGGAGGCGCTCGGCCAGCGAGTGCGCGCTGGCTATTTCCCCGCGCTCTCCAGCTTCCCTCCTTTTGGCCGCTCCAGAGAACGCCCGCTGTCTCCCCGGTGAGAATCTGCACGTTGAGTGTGTAGACCGGCTGCTTGCTTTTTCTGGGGGCCTTTACCGTCCTTCGGCGGTAGCATTGTGCAGGTTGTTGCTCACACGTGCAACATAAAGTGAGGACTGATTTGTCTAAAACTTTGCTACCGCAGGGAGCTCTAAGATGAAACTTTGGTACCCAAAGCATTTGTCGCATTCAATTCCATAGAAACTCTGTTAGCTACTTTTATGTCTTTATTTTTTTGATTGGGAGAACAAACTCATCATGATTGAAAATTTCCCTCTTTTTACGTGCTTAAGCTTGTATGTTCAAATGTCTTCTTAACTCCCTGTCCTTTGCATCCCGGAGTAAACTTGCAAACTGCTGCCCCCTGTCCCCTAGAATGAAAATACTTCATCTGCTCCTCTTGCATCTTAAGGTCTTGCTCTCTAGTTCTAGGAATGAGGCAGTGAAGTGTTCGCTTTATTTTTCCTGCTTAAAGAAAATTTAAATCTGTAACTGTAGTTAGAACTGAACACAGGAACCACATTCTTACTTAGTATCACCCAGTTGACCTCAAATTTGTTTTATAAGCTGTGAAGACAGTCGTTGCTTCTCTTTTAATTCTAAGATAACTTCTGTGAGCTTTTAAGGAACAACTTCTGTAAATGGTAATGGGTGTAATGAGAGTTCTTTTGCTCCTTTTGAACAAATCTAACATTTTTAGAATTTTTTTCCAGAAAGTTTATTACATAAATTTGTTAATGGGTTCAGTTTTTGAACAATTTTGACTCCTTTGAGTTTTTCTTTGAAAATGATAAATAACACTTATTAAATGCTTCAAATAGGCCATTGCCTTTACTTTTGTTAATTCACTTAATCCTTACAGCATCCCTATGAGGTAGATACTATTATTCTTTTACAAATGAGGAAACTGAGGCACTCAGGTTAAATATCGTGTCTAAAGTTTCACAACTGGTTATGAACAAAGGTCTGGCTGCACAGGCCATGTCCTTAACCATCAGGAGAATCCATTATCCTAATGGGCAGATCAGAAGTTATAATTCTGTGTAACCATTCTCTGGGGAAAAAAGGACATGAACATTCTTAGGTACAAGAGAAATGAAAATGTGCTTCTCCAGTAGAAGAAATTATTTCTTCTACAGGGAAGAAGTGGCTGCTTCTCCAGTGATAAAAAGAAACCTTGATTTTTATTTCAGCCAGCTTTCTATCTTTGTTATAATAAAAATAGGTCAGGATAATGGGCTTCATCCAACTTTAAGTGAACAGCAGTGTACGGAACAAGAAGATCTTAGAAATATTTTTCTTAGCAACATTGCAGTTAATTTTACAATAGCAAATCTGTAAAGCAGATTGACAGGGCTGTTATTTTCTCTTTTTTATGCCTTCATTGTTACTACCTCCTCTTGGATATGCAGAGCTGACCTCTGACAAACTTATTTGGTAAAAGATGTTGTAAGGGTTATCCAGTTTGTTTATTTAAGCCTCTTTTGTGTTTTGACCATTTTAAAGAAACTGAGTGTGCGTATTGAAAATGTGCTGAATGCTACCTGGAGACCAAAAATGTCATGATTTGTGATACCAGGTTAACTGGTTTTGCCACAGACCAGAATAAAGCTCTCACTGCCATTTCTGTCATGTATTTTATGTCTGTGTCATTGATTAGGAAGGTTGTATTAATGCACAGGTCTTTTGTAGAATTCAGGCCTGTACATGTTGGCCTCCAGAGCTGTGCTGCAAGTGCACTGCTGTGGCAGATGCCAGCCAGCCCAGCACATCTGCTTGGTGTGTGCTTTCCTCCTGACGCGAGAGTTATGCAATGATCGAACAACACAAAACAGGTTGAGAAGTGATAGTCTATTATGGTTTTTCAGCTTATTGTCAGTTGTGGATACTTGTCCTTGTTTTTGATAAATCATGATAAAGATAGAAGTTATTGCTCGTGATTAAATTTTGAAATAAACATTCCTTATAATTTCTTTTTCATTCTTCTGGGTCAGTTTTAGGAAGATCCTGAGGTTACTAGGAAAGCTATTAAAACTAAGTTGGAACAATTCACCTTTGTGATTTTTTTGGATCCGTACACTTAAAGCACAGAATAAATTGGATGTTAAGGCTGATATAATGACTTTCATTTAGAAATTTATATTAAAAATAACTTATTGTTCTCACTGACCTTATAAGTACATGTCACATGATTTTAACTTTTTTTTTAAATGGATGACTTTATTATTTACTTTATATAATATGGCTCTTTTGAGTTCATTTGAAGAAATGTATTTCATTATTTTAAAAGTACTTGGATATCATCACTCCAGTGTGATTTGATCTCTCTCAACTTGGATGCCCACTTTGAGCCTGCGTGTTTCAGTCTTGACAGTGGATGTCACCTGTTCTCCCTGGCAAAGGCAGCCTTCTGGGGAGCTCTGCACTGCTGGTGCAGCATCAGGATGGGCGTGCCTTTAGACCACTGTGGCAGTGGATAGCGTTGGTGGGGTGGCTTTAGGCAGAAAGGAGGAGTTGCCGAGCAGCAGTAACAAAGGGCTACAGTGATGGCAGAAAGTTCATGTTTTGAAGTAGGGACGATTTGATTCCCAAGAGGACTTTGTGGTTCCCTTTAATTGTTTGTCATATGTCAGGAATTGCTCTGCTTCCTTCACATGTGCTCTTTTGGTGTCCTGCAGATCTTGTTCTGAGCTCTGCTAAAATGTGGGGATCTAAAGTTCTTGACTGCTTACTGGATACATTTGCCTTAATAACTTCCTGGTGCTTAATAATTCCTCATTCCTCAATAATTATGTTTTTACTCACAGCAGTCTATTGACTCAGCCTTTTCGTTGGACCAGGTGGTGTGTATGCTGTTCAGAGTTTCTTTAATGTTGCCTGTCATAGGCTATAGATGGTAGTTTCTTTAAGGAGAAAATGGAAGGGATATCAGTAAAGGAGACTGGCGGATGACTCTGTAGGTCTTTATAAGCTGGCAGTTCCTTGGCAGGGTCATCAGGGTCCAGGCGCTCAAGTGCTTGGGCTTATCAGGGCAGATACCAGCATTGTCTGCACCCCAGTTAGTCACTGTATTCTCTTGCTGTAGAAGGCCAAAGGATGATTAATATTGATTGGTACACATGACATTAGCAAGGGAAATGAGTTGAGTGATCTTAGTGACAAATGTTAGCAGACCAGCGAGGTTGGTTTGCTTCCCTGTCAGGTACGAGAGGCAGGGTGACCAAGACTTACTCTACAGTTTTATTTTCTAGACCTCACACAGGCTGCTTTTTTTCCTCTCTTGTCACAAATGTCCCTCAGTTGGTTGGATTATAGTGTGTTTATTTTTAATCTTCAGTCTTTAATTCAATTATAATAAATCTTGTGTCTCCTGCTTTAATTTGGGATATATTGTACCCTTACCCTTAAGACATTTGTTTAAAAAAAACCAAACTTCAGTGGTATAGTAGGTTTTTACTAATGGTAGGGCTTGGAGGATCACTTGATTGTATCTTTTGGCAGAGATTCTGAAGAAGGTGTGGCAAACATGTCAGTGGCTAGTACTGTCATAAAGTTCTTTTTGAATATTGTTTTCAGGAAGGATCGTGCTGATATGTGTTTTTTCTGGATTTAAGTCATAAAATTAAATTTAAGATTTTAGAATCATATCAGAATTCTGTGTAGCTATTAAAAACTATGTTTTTAAAAAATATTTGGTGACATGGGAAAATGCTAATGGTATCAACCCTTTCTGGGGGTAGGACTGGAGTATCTATTTTTCAAAAGGTTCCCAAGTACTTGTGGTATATACATACCCACCACTGTGTTCAATGAAAACAAGCAGACTATAAAACAGTATTTGCAGAAGGTGGCAGCCAAAATTTGGGGTGGCTGCCCAACTCGTACATTATGTCTCCATCTCTTATGTCTGTCCCACCTCTCCATCTTCCTTCTCCCCTATTTGGAGGAATCCCCCTCTTGACTCTAGCTGCAGGGTACAAATTGGAGCTGCCCTCCTCTTACAGATCTGGCTGTAAGGATGGACACTTGACCCAAGCCAATTCAGTTCTTTCCTGGAACTTTTCAAATTGGAGCTAAGAGGGAGAAATGTTCATTTTGATAACTGAAGTATATACTATTAAGTCATGACCCTAGAGCTGTCTCCCTGAAGCTGTCGTCAGTCTCGTAGAGAGATAGTCTATCTCAGATTGTGGAGTTTACCCCAGAGAAAAGCAGAGGGAATGAAAGAGGTTTGTGACCAGTGGCCCCATTCCTCCTTTTTTTTCCTCCAAAGAGACGGGATCTCACTATATTGCCCGGGCTGGATTCAAACTCCTAGGCTCAAGGTAGCCTTCCCTCTTGTCTTCCCAAATAGGTGGAACTACAGCTGTGCTCGACTGCACCCAGCCAGTTGCCCTTTATGCTAGATTCACCCCTGTTTTTCCTTTGATTTGATGTGTGAGCTAATAAATTCTCTATTTGTGCTTAAACTATTAATTTGAGTTAAGCTTCTTAAAATCCTAATATTCTGTATGCTCCCATTA